ACTACGATCAAGTGTGAAACCAACTCTTCTAAATGCCCTGGGTTCGGATGGGTTATTTGTAAGTCATTTTGTCACTTGGATGAAGAAATTTTCAGAGTATTCTATACGACGTGTGTGAGGCCGCATTTAGAATAGAGATCAGGCAGCGGGTTATTATGAAGACCGACTGAGATGCCTCAACCTAATTCCGTTATCCTACCACAGACTAAGGGGTGATGTCATATTGGTATTCTGAACGTATACTGAAAGATGAATTTGTCATTGACATGTCTTATCTTTTTTGAAAATGTGGGACTGATCATCTAAGGGGACATTTTAAGAAAGTTTCAAAACGGTGATCAAATCTTCCATCTCTAGGGTTTCATCTTTCCCATTGAGTAATAAATTATTGGGATTCTGTACTAGAACACGCAGTAATGTCATCTTTTGTTGATACGTTCACAGTACTACAAATTTCAAGGACGAATATGGATCTCCTAACCATCTGTCCTTACTACTGACGACTAGTCTTTTAGTCATTGAATGGACGAAACTCCTCATGCTTCAGTTTCAGTTTCAGTTTGGGAAGGACAGGAGGCTCGATGGCCTATGTTAGTCCTGGCAATGGTGGTCTCTCAGTTGATCCAACTTTCTTTTGAAAGAGTCGACGGATGGAGCCTCAACCACGTGCTGAGGTAGTGAATTCCACTCGTTGATGATTCGATGGGAAAGTCGATAGTCAGCTGACAAGTAATTTGTTCTCGGCTTATGAACTTTTTTGGAGTGTCCTCGTAAATTCTCTGTTTTGGAAGACAAGAAAAATGAGGGCATGTTAGGTGCGAATTTATCACTAAGCAATTTGTAGACTGTAATCAAGTTGCCTCTAGTTCTGCGATATGACAACGGGAAAAGGTTCAGCTTGGCCAGTCGAGATTCATACGGAAGCTTCGCTATTGCGGGAACCAGCTTAGTCGCCATTCTCTGAACCTTTTCCAGAAGCTCTCTGTCTTTTTTAAAGCAGGGGCTAGCCGCTTGTATGCAGTACTCAAGTTTAGGACGAACGAACACTGTATACAAAGTCATAAACGTCTTAGTGTCGACATGACTAAAAGCCCTACGTATTGACCATAACGTTCTAAAACTTTTGGCGGCTATTGCACGGCAGTGTGCAGTAGTCTTTAAGTCTTGACTAACGATAACTCCTAAGTCATTATATGTCTGGACGACAGGTAGCTCAGTGTTATTCATCGTGTATGTATCTGTACCTTGATGACCGATATGCATCACAACACACTTGGAAGTATTTATCGGCAACTGCCATGTTTGAGACCATTCAGATAACTTCTTCAAGTCATTTTGAAGTTCTAAGCTATCACTCTTACATCGTATCGTTCTCCATATCTTGACATCGTCAGCATATAGCAAGACCGATGATGATAGGAGACAAGGAAGGTCATTTACATACAAGAGGAATAGCACTGGCCCCAAAACTGTACCCTGGGGCACTCCACTAAGCACAGTTTCCCAGCTAGATAACTTTGAGTTCACCCTTACTCTCTGTTGACGCCCAACTAAGAAGTCTTTTATCCACATCAATAAATTACCTCCAATCCCGACATGTCTTAACTTATATAACAGCCGGTTGTGCGGAACTTTATCAAAAGCTTTACTGAAATCAATGAAGGCGACGTCTACAGGTAGCTTTTGGTCCTTAAGAGCACACCAGCTTTCACGAGCCACTAATAAGTTAGTGAGACAAGAATAACCTATTCTGAAGCCATGCTGCTTCTCCGAGAGGATCCGGTTTTTATCGAGATACTTAAACAGCTCCTTCCGAATAATCTTTTCTAATATTTTAACAACCACACTAGTTAGGCTAACGGGGCGGTAGTTCTCAGGTTTGTGTTTCGTGCCTGTCTTGAAGACAGGACTTACTATGGCGTTTTTCCAATCTTTCGGTAAGCGACCCTGCGTAACGGATAGGTTAAAGCATGTACTTAAAGGGTTCGCAACGAAGTTAGATAATTCCTTCAGTAGCCTAGGATGTAATTCATCGGGCCCCGTGGATTTACCTATGTCAAGCTTATTTAGCAGACCAAAGACATCGAGTTCTTTAATGGTCACGCTATCCAGTGTATGTATGGGGGGATCTGTATACGCTGACGAGAAGGGCGCTTCTATGGTATACACGTTGCTAAAGTAGTTCGAGAACGCTTGAGCCTTACCAAAGTCGTCCTCCACTAATGATGAAGCAGTACTGTCTCCCCATAGAGCAGGAATATTTCCTTTTCTCCTTGTCCTTTGGTTTATATAGGAATACAAGCGTTTAGGACATTCTATGGATTCCTTAACAAGTTTTTCTTCGTACAATTTTCTAGACTTACGGAGGGTCGAGGCACAAGTGTTCCGAGCCTTTCGATACTGAGATTTTGACTCATCAGTCCCCAGTAACCTAAATCTATCCCACGTTTTCCTTTTCTTACGGAGAAGGATACGGACCTCCCTACTGAACCATGGTGGTGAGTTTTTCGGCCCCTTTGGTATAGTCCAAGGGATGTGAGGTGTGGTAACTTTTAAGTATGATTTTCGAAATGTGTCCCAGGCCGTTTCAATGGAGGACTCTGGGTCTATTGTCCAATCTATTAACGATGCTGAGTGCATGATGTCTGGTATGTTTGCTTTCCAGACGTTGGGTCTGGACTGGACTGACGCGTCCTCATGACTGGCAGTTATATGGAAGTCGAAAGTTAAAACTGCGTGGTCACTTTTACCTAAGGGTGGCATATGGTGGAGGTTCGCAACATCATCCTCATAGTGAGTCAGTATAAGATCTAATAAGGATGATTCAGTGTCCGGGTCGTACCTAGTCGCTTCTTTCACATGTTGCACTAGGGCACATGTGATAACCGCATCAACTAGTTCCTGCTCGAAGGAATTTTCTGACGATTCAGTTCGCAGATTTTCCCAGTCTACCATTGGTGCATTAAAGTCCCCTAGGATTAGACATCGACCACTTTGGGACCAAGTATTGAGACTGCTTAACAGGATCTCATTTGCCTCACAGCTTGGACTGCGATAGACCAAACCAATCAGCAGCTCTTGTCCCTTGCATTTTAAGCGAAGACTAACTAATTCACACGTCCCACTCTCATGGGATACACTATCGATAATGGTAAATGGGATAGCATTCCTAATGAATAGAGCTACTCCCCCTCCTTTGCGCTTTTGTGTCCTGTCGGCCCTTACTAACGTAAAGCCCTCGAAATCAAGTTCTATACTATCTATAGCCTGTGTCAGCCAGGTTTCTGTTACTGCGATTATATCTGGCTTTATAGAGTCAATCTGTACACCTAGTTCCGATCGCTTATTAAGTAAGCTTCGTGCATTGGTGTAACAGATCCGAAGCCTGTTTAGGTGCCTTCGTGCTTCACCCAGAGTGGCTTCGGCATCATTCTCTGTCGAAGTCTTACAACCCGAAAATTTACAATTTTCAGGTCCTTTTCGCCAGCGTCTAACCTATGTTGTAGTTCTTTCTCGGCTTCCCGTCTTTTAACACGGTCTGCCAACGGTAGGTCCTTTCGGATAAAGACTCCCGAGCCCTTTAATTTGTGTCCATTTTGTAAAATTAGGTCACGTTCGTTTGAAGAGCCGAATACTACTTTAAGCAGTCTGGAATGATTTGGTTTCGAGTCCGTTAGACTCCCTAGTCTATACACCTTTAACAAGGTGACCCCAGTCATATTCTGAGGCATGAGTTGATTAAGCAACTGCCTAATCAGTACAATATCATGCTCAAAACGAGCTTTAGGTTCAGAGCTATCGCTCTCCTTAATTCTATGAAAAATAGCTGATCTGTCGCTATGATCAGCTTTCGATTTTTCAACCAGTTTTACGGGGGCAGGTTTCCCTTTTATATCAATACTTTTCTTCCTTACAACCTTTACCCATTCGTTAACGCTGCTGGTAGAAGCAATAGCAGTTGCGTCAAAACTAGTGTTGGGTTTTGGGGGGTTGTCGACGACCTGAGGGGTCGTGTTATGTTGACCATTTGAAACCGATCGAGCCTTGCGATTGCGGCTCCTAGGTGTTTCCTGTTGGATCCCATCTGGGAGACGGGGAACAGAAGACCCTACTTTTCTTGAGCTTTTTTTAAGGCAGACCCCTTTGGAGACTGCTTTTCCTTCTTCGACGGGCGTGAGTCATCTATCACCGGACTCACCTTAGTTTCCTTCACATTGATTTGCGTGTCAACAGATCGAGTGCTGTTTGACGCGTTCCGACTATGCTTGTTGAAACACTTCTTTGCAGCATCAACCAGTGAGATAGCCTCGGTTAACAAGCTGTTTGCATCCGAGCAGCACTGTTGACAAAGCCACACACAACCCTTCTTACTGAACCGTTTGAAAGCAGCAGGCGTTAAGTTCGTGCAAACTTCGTGGTACCAGCCTTTGCACTCGTCGCACTGCATGCCGCTTTCAACAGGATAACGACAACCCGGACGTTGGCAACTGCTTTTTTTACACTGTCCGTTCATTTAGGAGGGGTTTTTTCAATATGCGATGATACCCAGAAACAAAAAAATTATCAATGACCAAAAAAAGTGAAGACCAAAAGTACTAACAGATACAGTTGAAAAAGTGGTACTAAAGAGTACCAACGACAAAACAGTAAAAACGATACTTAAGTCGAATACTTTAACTGAAATAAATTCAATTAAAGTGAAAAACAGTAGTATTGATACGTAATAAACGATCAAAACAATGAAATTTACTCAGCGAGGAAAAATACCACTGTCCTTTTTAAATAGCGCGCGAGGTTGATAAATTTAATAAAAACATTCCAAATGGGTGCAACATAACTCCATTCTCATGAAATCACAATAAGCTAGGCGTCTTCTGTTTCTATCATAAAGCATTTGAATAATCTTTTTTTGTTTGTCTTACTTGAAAGGTCGTCTGAAGGTTATGGCACATTCCTAAAGTTTGCGGTGTCTTGAAGTGGCATAATGTAAACTCAGTGTAATGGGCAAGGCTAGTCATGTAACTCTGAGCCTTTGGCCCAGGGCAGAACCGTTCGCATACGGTATCTTTCAAGTTCATCCTCATCCAAGACTTGCTGTTCATGTAAGAACGTTTCCCTAAAACATTTAAGCCTTGTTATGTGTTTTAGAACATCAAAAAGCTTGTTACTTATGCAAAAAACAAAAGTAAAACTGGATCAAGATTAAGGTAGATCATCTTAATTTTCGATAGGTTGGTTTACATTACTCAATAGTTATTCTGTTTGGAAACATGTAGCATGTAATAAGCTTCAGCTAACTGAGGATTTGGCTTGGGTGTATGTTTGCTTTTAACTTATACAGCTATTTAGCCTCTTTCACACATGCCTAACTATGTCGGCGACACAATATGATAAGCTTAAGGATGTTGATGAAAGGATATTTACTGCAGCAAATTCAGCAGATGCCGGTAGTTACACGTTTTCAGATCTACATAGTTTATAGAGAGGATTCGTACTTCACAATCCGTTAATTTGTTCACATTTGTACTCTTTCTGTACATACAGCAAATAAACAAGATATCACTGCGAGCTTCAGCAGTGTCAGCCAATGCTGAGTTAGTTTTCTGGGGTCTTATTATTTACTCTGCTAGGTGGCCTGGTAGTTACAGTCGTTCATCCGATTTGGATTCAGGTCGTTCAACTCCTATCAGACTATGTCGCGTAATTGTATGAATTTGACTTTCAGTTTTCAGAATCTAGATGAGCAATATCATTTTCAATTTATCAGTGAAAATTTGAATGAAATGCTTGATCTCCTTGTTGAACCCGGTAATTTTTATTTGTTGCTTATGTTTATGTTGATATGATAACAGTCAGGTTCAAATTGATCTGAAAGTGAGTAGCCTACAAGCTAACGCTTCTCAATCTTCTGTTAATTTACATTTATTTTATGTTCATATTCTGTGTATAAGCATGTCATTTTACCACAAAACTTTTTGTCTGTTTAGTTAACTTGTCTTTATTTCCTGGTCATTCGGGGCGTGCTCCAATAATTAGTCCTTGTGAGCAGCTGTCACTACCAGAAATGATTACATTCAATTAATAAGTATTCTAATGATTGAATTAACAATAAATTCGTCAATTAATTGATTACTGAGTAATGTATGTCGTAACATAACTGTACCGCATAGTTGCTGAGTGCTAACTTCGTGTTAACCAGAAATAATCAACGCAAGGTGAACGTTCAGAGTGTATAGAAAACGTGTGAATTAATAACAATATAAATGTACTCAGTGTATTGAATTAAAACGGATTCCCATTTACACTTATGTCTAAGTATTTACTGTTTACAGCAAAAAATCTTAGTTGTCTCTTACCATATTTCCCTAGATATAATGCTATATATATTGTCTTAATAATTGATGTAAATTTGACTGTTATCTAGTCACGTTTCGAAATCACACCCAGTCTCCTGTTTGCGTTCTCGAATCCTTGTTTTTCTGGTTTGCTTTATTACTTGTTTTGGTTTTCATTATTTCTCATGGCACATTAATAGATTACTACCGGCTGCAAAATGAGTTCTTGGTTCAAAACACGTACTATGTGTGCACATTAATTACCGTTTTGTACTTTATATTCAGATAACCAAGGTGGAAATAGTATGGATGCAACATTGTCTGAAGGCGCTGTCGAAGCTTTGGATCTTGTTTTGGAAGGATCAGCTGATGAAGGAAGGTGTGTCTACTTTTATGTACTTTTAACCTTATTTTATTTCAGGACGCTTAATTCATTTTCAGAAATTGTCCATATACCAACAATTCTTCCAGCAACTGGTTATTCCAAGGTATTTCCTTGTTACTTGTTTATCATTCTAAAAGCAACAAAAGCCCACAAAAATTTACTTTTGTCGTCATATTGTGTTTATTTACTTGTTAATATAGAGGCGCATGCTGTTCGTATCCCACCAATATGTCTTGTATAGGCAATATTGACGAAAAATATTCGTTTAAGGCCTTATTATTACACGGTTCCTAAATTGTTGTTATTTGTGGTAGTATTCGCAATGGTTTTTTTCGCGAAAATTCCAGCTCCATTTAGATGGTGTTACCGGATGTTTGATGCCGGTTACCTCAAATCCTTATTTGGAGATCGATGTCAATCGCTTTGTGGTGAATCGTAGCTTTACTAATATTTTCCAAATTAAAATGAATCACAGCTGTCTGTATCGTACCATAATCTAAGATAGTTATTTGCAATATATAACTGTACTTTATCAGTCACTTCCTCATTTTGGTTATTCCCAGTCACCTCATTTTCTTCCAACTATGTAAAACCTTTTGTAGGTTACACATGCTTTCCATTTACGTGGCCTTCTTTCTTGGATACGTTCATGGTTAACACAAAACCCGTTTTCGGTTGAAAACTGTATTCGAAATGGTCGACGTTTACAGTGGCGTCTTCCTCATCAGGTTGTCTTGGACAATGAGTCTGGTTTGAACAATACTCAGCAACAGCCACAGAATGATATCATAAAGCGTCAAAAGATTGCGACAAACGCACACCAAGTTCCACGAACTGGAGGTCACAGTGGGTAAGCTTATGGAGAATTCATACCTTACTATTTAGAAAACGGTTTCCAGTTGTTTGAAATCATGTATATTGTGTGGTGCTTCATTAAGTATACGAAAAATGTATACTTTGAAGCTTTTTCTATTGATAACTGCAGCCTGATATAGGCACTTTGCGGTCCACCATCATCGTATTCAGTTTTTACCCCGATTGGGTGATTTAAAAAACGTCCCACCTATGCACCAACTTACATATTTATAGTGCATCGTTTTTCACACATACTATGTCGTCACTAAGTTGTTAAAAATCTTGTTAAGTGACATTTCTTCAGTCAATTTTTCATACATGTTTTTAATTGGATATTCTAGAAACAAACTGGTTGTCATGTCAATGATTTCTCGCCAAATTATTGCTCGCGTAAGTTTATTTTAACCTTAAATTGTTTACTTTTTGCATTGATCCATACAGTTTTTTTATACAGAATGAGAGAGTTTAGTTATTATTGAGTAATTTTACCGCTACCATGTTAAAGTACCATAAAAATATTTTAGAACATTGTTGGATTCAATTTCCAAAATAGTAACCCTTTCTATCGATCAATAAAAATGCTTCTCTGGTGTCTGTTGTTTTATGGATTCTCTGTGTAACCGTTTGATATTAAGAATTCTCTGTCGATATTACTTTAACAAATGGAGATGGCAATCCAGCAGTTGTATTTACAATTCACCAGAAAATCTAATTTGTTTTAAATTCATACCACTTAATGTAACGGATTCTACTAGTTAGTAAGAGCAGACTTGTTGTCTAACTAACTCCAGACTTTTGGCTCGTGTTATATGCAAACTGGTTGTCGTCACATTTGAAATGGAATTTATTTTGAAGGCTGCCAAATACATATAACTTTATTTTTTATTAAGGTCGTTTAAATATGACAGGAGTAATGAGTGACATAATACTACAAATCTACATCAGTTTAATTTTGCATTTTACAACGGCACATAAAAATAAGTAAAATCAGAAAAAAATATTGAAATAAACTGATAGAATGAAGTAAGCAATCATAACAGTATAGATGCGGAGTCATAAGATCTTTTCAACCTAGAAAAAATACGAACTAGAAAGGTTTGTGTCACTATTCTCGACATATTTTAATTATCAACTGGTAGTGCTTAAGTTATATCTAAAACTTCTTGAATTTCTCTTTACGTGTAACGACTTGGTTTGTCTACATTCACAAGTACTTATCGCTCAGTATCAAAATTCTCCTTGAAATCATTTTATTTTGATTTCAGAGTTCTGCTACACTTGATGGTGCCACGCTTAAAATACATCGTGCCCATTGTAGTTATTTATATCTCTTGTCACCGATGAGGTTAGTTTATCAAAGTTAATATATCCTTGTGGTGGATTTCTATAAACACTTTTGGTCATGTAATATGATATTTTTCCTACCACATTTTTATTTAATAAATGTAGAAATTTACCACTGCGGCTTCCTAATACATGGTTTTTCGCTAGATTTATCGACTAATATTTGGTGATTCTAGTTTATCAGTGTCAGATATAACAGAGTGCCTACTAGCGCTCTGAAATGTTTGATAAATAAATAACCATAAACCAAACTATTCCAGTACCTCATTCTCATTCATAATTAACTTTATTCTTTCCTATGCTCATGATAATTTTCATGTAATTCTTTTCTGAAAAATTGATGATCATTACTTAGATATTCTAGTAAAGTTTGAACTGGGACTTCTGATTTAATCCAGAATTCGTGTTTTATCCTATTTGGGTCTCTTGTTCCGGTCATAACTTTATTCCAGAATCGTTGTTTACTCTAAAACTGAAACCTAATACTTTTTATGCGATTTCTAATGAACTATCCACCTAGCTACAAATTTCAGATAGCCATTGATCTGACAAACAAGTTGGTATTATGGATTGCATTCGATCAGTCTCCACTGGCTTTTGTGCATCGTAAGCAAGGTACTTTGAAGTTTCCGTTCGTTGCAAAATTTTCTACCATAAAATGACGAGTTTTAAATAAGATGAGGCATGCGTCTCCGATAAAACTTAGCCACTGTGACAAATTTACTTAAAACTTGTAACTAGTGGCAGTTTTAAGGCACTCCTTTGCAGATGTGCATACCAGTGGGGACTGTTTAAATGCAGTTCATAATATAAACGATGAGAAGACTGAAAACCTCAGATACAATACCTGCCCCCAAATGCTCATGATACGGCTAAGGGCGGGGAGAGTCTGCTATCCCTCTCAAAATCCTCTCATATAATCACTTTCATGGAAGTCCTGTTCACTACCTTGCGGTGAGGGTATTTTCTGTGACATCGAGAAGACAAAAAGTTAATATCTGGCGCTTGAACCGAGTTAGTGGCTACGGAGGACCACATGAGCTCCAGTGTCCTGAGGGTACAAATAACGTATGGCTGTCATGAGACCACATCTAACGTTACTCCTCTGTCCTGTGGATTGGACCTCCCGATCAAAGGTTCGCTGAGTGGCCCCTTAAGAAAACTGCCCATTTCGGTTTAGTCACCTGGGCAGTATCCCAGTCCACACAAAAACTGAGTAAGAACTACTTCGTGTGACCCATACATATTTTGGTGCCCTCTTTTACCGATGTTTATTTGTTTAAATGAATAAAATAAGATACAGTATCTAGACATACCTGGAAACTTTTCAACTATCTAACACAAACTACTGATACAAATGTTCCAGTAGTTTCACGTTTTGATGATAACATTTTTCTGGTACCAACTGCCATATATGAATGCATATTATGAAGAAAGATGTAGTCAGAACCCAAAGTTATGTTAGTCTAATCGAGAAGTATATTTCATAGGTCTCAATTTTTTGTTGTATCATTATGTGCGTCAGTTTATGTAATTATCAGTGAAAATCACTAAGTACATGCTTATACATTCTGTTTTGATCCACGGTATTTGTACATGGGTTAGTGATTTTATTCGGCTTCTGATACCTAAGGAGGTTAACTAGTGTTCGGACTACTCTCCAACGATTGTAAGCCAATGCAACAACTTTGAATTTGTTGTTTTCCAGAATTGTTGAACTACGATTATGTTCATTTATTAACTTACGATATCTACACGAGTTAGTAAATTACAGTATATATGGTAGAACAGTCCGTTTTTCGTATCCGCTGTTGATGTTGTATTAGTGACGAGTTTAATAAAGAGTTTTGGTGACACTATATGTATAGTTTTCCTTTTAAAAACATCCATTAAGTGTTTTTATATATTTTCGTATGGTAGGTTTACTGCTGTCTCCAGTCCTTTCAGCTGACTTTTCAAGACATTGGATTTTTTACTTTACATCTTGTTCTTTCCAATGGCGATAAAAGTACTGCTAACATAGTAAATTCATACACTTGCATATAATTAGCTTCCAGTTCCGTTTATTTTAGTATTTCAAAGCGTGTTGTACATAAATGTACATCGTTCGTAAATTAGTAACAAAGATGCTATCAATTCACTATCGGTTGTTTGTATAAAGCCTTGTTTTATATTAGTTACTCTTAATATCTGTTTGCATTTGAATCTTGAGGGAACGCTGTTGTGTAATTAACATCTCAAGTCTTTTTACGAGGCCATTCTATTGTTTTTAGTAATGGTTGGGTCAGACAGTCGACAGGCGCAATTATATTGTTCTGTGTTATAGACAACATTGTATTCGATTTATTTATATAACTAAGTAATATTTAGACTGTATGTTGTATCTTCCGTCAAGAATTCCTTAAATACTTTTTGTAGGTCTGTTACACTAGATAAGTGTCGCAAGCTGACCATTGTTTTGGGACCGATTGAAAATACTCTCCAACTTAACCATTGTGAAGACTGTTTGGTTATTGCAGCCTGTCGTCGTGCTGTCTTGGCTTATTGTCGTCGGTGCACATTGCATTTAGCTATACAATCTCGTCCAATATTGATTCAGCCCCCTGTTCCAAACACTATCAGTGGATCTATGATTATTTCAAATATTCCTGGAAATAATTCGGGTACAAATACTTCTACCCCAGGCACCCCTACGCCTGGTAGTGTAGCACTGGTTGGTAATGAAGAAATCTTGTTGGCTCCCTTTCATACAACGTATATGAAACTTGTGGATCACCTGAACAAGGTGAACCTTAGTCCGAAAGTGAATTATTGGGATCGTCCATTTTTGTTGGGTAAGTATTAGTTCTTTCATGATGTTTAGCCATAAAATAAGCTTAAGATCATTTATTGTTTACTGCTGAACTTAACAGGCAATCCACCTTCCTAAGCATTCGTATTTTGAAATTCGAGGATCACTTAAGTCACAAAACGCCCCTAAATACCCTAGTACGGCCGGGGGGATGAGAGTCCGCTCTCCTCGAAATGCTCTCACATGGCAACGTGTATACATCGATTGCCAGAGAAGTTCTACTCGCTGCCTTCTCGTGGCATTACTGTTATTTACGAAATCGAGGACGAAAGGTGAATGTCCGGCGCTTTAACCGGGTTGGTGGATATAGAGGATCCGCCTAAAGGAGTTGGAAAACCCTCATTCCATACCATTGCTGTACATGGGCTACAGCATCTTGAGGGGACAAATGCCGTATGAACCAATTGTTAGTCACCGGCTACCATGAAACTGCATCTCCTGTCTTGTGGATTAGACCTTCAGATCAAAGGCTCGGGGTGTGGCCCCATGAAAGAACACCTGCTTTGGTGTGTGCACCCTTGCAGTATCACAGCCCACACAAAAATCAATGACCTGTGTGGCGCATATAAATTCAATGCCCCTTTGTACCAATATTTATTTGTTCAAATAAATAAATAAGTCACAAACTGACATAAAATAAAGAAATACTATGACCTACTAAAAACAAAAAAATTGTGATTTATATTAGTTTTCACTAGTTTTGTAAGTAATTTCTTCCTATGATGACAATGATCTAAAAAATTAACAAAATTGGCAATAAATCTTTTAAACCAAATTATAGTTTCTTTAATGACTGTTCGTGCTTTATGAAACATAATAAGCAGTGGAGTATTATAAATAAGGATTTCGTCTTATAACTGAACCTTCATATGCATTTGACACTCTTAATCACGCATAAATTATAGCTTCATACTCTTCTCGTGAACCACGGAAGTTCAGTTGTGAATTAACTAATGATTTACAAACGGTCAGTAGTTTAGAAACCGACCAGCTTATGCGTTCACTTAAAATGAGAAAGAGATTGTATTATGTCGTTTCTCCCAAGCAGTATTCCTTGAATATCATACTTCACTCAACTTCCCCTAAGCCAGAGAGAAAATTGAAATGGGAGAATGTATAAACATGAACAACCGAGATACTGTGATAAAAACATTAGAGTTGATATAAAATTTATATTATCCAGGATCTCGGTACGTCCACTAAAGCTGATTGATTGAGAATGAAGCACTAAACATGTTCCGATTTAGGTGTAACCAGAGCGTGCATTAGTTACAATAATAATAATTTTATATATTCTGAAAATAATAATTACAGAATTGACGCCAGTTTACAGGCATGATCATTTTGATATAAATAGTAACATTATATGTACAGAACAAACATGTGATACAGGAAAGTTTTAAGTATACTAGTTCAGTAATTGTTTAGGTAGTACATGTATTACAGCGATCCAATGCATCAGCCGGAAACTTTTAATTTTTCTTAAATGGACAGCCTGTTGCTTTATGAACGGTGTGATTAAGGTCATTTCGTGTGCCATATCGAATTAATGATAATTATCTACAACTAGAGAAATTAAAACGAAAACAACAAAGCAGTAATTACCAAAATATGTCAATCAAGTCTACCAAAATGCATGTGTCATGTGACACAGTGATATACTGTTGATGTTATTCAAGTTAGTTAAACTTGCTAGGGACGGTGTTCACATAAAGTGATAGCAAGTAGGTGGTTTTACTTGGGGAATGCACTAATAAAAATGGCTAAACATTTAAAGTTCCTATAATATCACTTGTGGAATGAGATACACTTACAGGTGCTAGAACATTCAATGCATTTTCAGAGGAGCAGTATGCATCGATGCAGCGAACAAATAATGGGAGTGATTTTATCGTACGGATAGGTTGTGGTAGGTTATTCCAGAGTCTAGAAAATTTACAGGTAAATTAATTCATATAAAGAGATGGTTTAGAACAAGTTTGTTTCACTAGTGACAAGGAATTACGGATGTCATAATGAGAAGTTTCTGCATATTGAATCACGTGATTGGATGTAAAGGATTGTTTATTAAGTAGTTTGAAGAAAAAGATAAGATTTAGTTTGAGTCTCCTTTTCCATAAAGGGTCTAGCCCAAACCATCCAGCTCAGAGAACAAAACACCACCAAAAAGGTCTAGCCCAAGTTTATTACATCTAGAATTATAAGTTAAGGTTCAATCAGCTTCAAGAATACTAAGTGTAAATCGTCTCTGTACTGATTCCAGCCTTAATTTATCATTTATGCGCGCACTGCTAAGAATAAACGTGCAATATTCTAGAAGAGGTCGAGCACAAACTTTATACATTAGAATACGTGACTGATTGTTATAAAGGTTTCGAGTTATGTAACCTACAAGACGTTGAGACTTAGAGGACTGTTTCAATATCTGTTCTGTAAACGACAAGTCTTGGGAGTATGTAAGTCCTAGGTCTACTACTGTATGTAATCTAGATAACACTTCACCATTTATAGTAAGGTCTAGGTTGAGTGATGTGTCGCCGAAGCATATCCATCCACATTTAGCCGTATTAAGCTCCAGTTGCCATTTTAAGCACCACTGTGCTACCTTGTTAAGCTCCATGCTGATGCAATTTTGCATATTTTTCAGGTCATGTGGAGAAAATGAATACACTATTTTAAGATCATCTGCGTATAGAAGGGGCTTACCCACACAAAAACTCGCAAATATCATTGATAAACACAATAAAAAAGGAAAGAGCCTAAGACACTACCTTGTATTACACCACTTCTAACAGGGACAGCGTTAGACAATGAGGAGTTAATTTTAACTATTTGATGTCGATTGCTGAGAAAGGAATCAAGCCAAGCAAGCAAAGGATTTTGAACCTCATAAGATGCGAGTTTACCTATAAGAAGTTGGTGGCTAACCATGTCGAAGGCTTTAGAAATGTCCAGATATAGCACTAAGACTAGATATCCTTGTCTATGTAGAGAATAGACTAAATTAAAGAAGTCAAAATGACATGTCATACAAGATCGATTTTTAAGAAATCCATGTTGAGTATCATTGATAAATTTTCCAGCGAGTAAATAGTTAGGAAGTTCATCACTTATAATTTTTCCATAATCCTAGAGATAACTGGAGTAATATTTATCGACCGATAATTGTTCATGTCAGTCTTATCTCCAGATTTGAAACGTAGTATGATGTACGCAGTTTTCCAACAGTAAGGGTAAGAACCTATTTCCATAGAGAGAGAGAGTAAACAGCTTTAGAAGAAGTGGAATATCTGGACCACCATATTTGTAGAGAAATGATGAAATCCCGTCTGCTTCATGACCTCTCGAAAGCTTAAGGGTGTTTATAGCCTTGTTAATTTTCATGCATATTAAGGAGATCGATTTTATTGAGTTGCTAGTCACGCACATAACTCTTGAAGCGAACCAATTCCTACACCATTCGCAAAAATACCACTGAAAAGGTCTGTTATAGTTTATAAAAGTGCTATTATGCTGGATGCATGGTATATCAACATTTTGAGTTGCTTTAGCGCGTTTATTGAAAAGGAGAGTTAAGTTTTGTACCTTTGAGTTAGTATTAAGTTAGCATTATATCCTGCTAGCACTTCCCCTTAGAGCATATCCGCAGTATTTAAAGTTTTGATCCATATTTATCAACGTAATTGGTCTACGGTTTCTATTTGTCCAGTTTTTTGGTGGTAAAGACGTAATGTCCTTTTTTATGTCAGTCAGCTACAACGTAGGACCAGGCACATATATGCATCGGTCCAAGTTACCATACCTCATTAACACCACAAGATGAACACCGGATTCATAAAAGTAGTTAGTTCAGAGGTAGTAATATATAAAAGAAAGATTGCAATAGGGATATAGTACAAGAAGAAAGAATTGGTTCGTAGAAAGAAAGATATGAAGCGATTTTAATCTTTTAGTTTAAGGGAAGACAGGGAGTGTATACACCGACGCCATTGTGATCGATTCTGAGCCATGTCACCAAGAGTCTCCAACCATTGGTTACGACAGTCACGCGGACTCCAACCAAGTAGTCTGCATCTACCAACATGGCTAAGACTACAAGTTAGTGACTTCAAGCATTGATGCCACGTTTTGGTTTGGCCGCCTCTAACTTTCTTCCAACCATCTCCAATACCGGATAGCATTGCATGTCGTGGTAGTCGGTGTTCGGGAATACGTAACACGTGACCCGACCATCTCCGTCTATGAAGATTCACAACCTCATCAACTGATTTACCATCATTTCCTAATACCCTGCGTCTAACATCACTATTACTTACCCGGTGATCCCAGCAGACGCCAGCAATATTTCTAAGGCATCTGTGGTCAAATACTAATAGTTTACGAGTGTCTTCTACTCTTAATGGCCATGTTTCGCTGCCGTAAATTAAGACAGGACGGACTGCCGTGCAGTATACTCGTCCTTTTATTGATAGACGGATATCTCGCCTTCGCCATAGGTGACGTAAGTTGGCGAAAGCCAAACGAGCTTTTCGAATCCGTGCTGAGATTTCGTCCGATACCAACCCATCTGGTCTGATCAGACTTCCAAGATAAGTGAAGTTGTCAACGCGTTCGACTACTTCACTCCCTATCCTTAGTTCAGGTGTTGATGCAGACCAGTCCTGAAGCAACAACTTGCATTTAGAAGGAGAGAAGCGCATCCCAAACATTCTGGCATTGTTGCTTAGTGCTAACAAAAGACTGCATTTTTTCAGCGTCTTCACCAAACAGGACTATGTCATCTGCGTATTCTAAGTCGATAAGTGGACCTCCTGGAAGGAGATCAATACCCGAGAATTCAGTCGACGAGAATGTTATTTCCATCAATAGGTCTATGATGAAGTTAAACAAAAATGGAGAAAGTGAACAGCCTTGACGGACACCACTTGAGGTTGCAAAAGTAGATGACAGTTCACCATAAGCTCTGACTAGACTAGTAGTGTTCGAGTAAAGAGCCTTCACAAGGTTTATGTACTTCTTGGGTACACCTTTCAATGACAGACACTGCCACAGAATCTCGCGGTCTACCGAGTCAAATGCTGCTTTTAAGTCGAGAAAGACCACCATTGTCGGACGCCGATAAATATGCCTGTGTTCTAGAATCTGACGAATGGTGAATATGTGGTCGATGCAGCCACGACTAGGTCTGAAGCCAGCTTGGTTCTCTCGTGTTTGTAGTTCACGAGTCTTAGTTAGGCGTCCGATAATTATCGAGGCTAGTATTTTAGATATTATATTAGTTAAACTAATCCCTCTGTGGTTGTCACAGGATGATTTTGACCCTTTCTTATATATTGGGACGATAAGTGATTGTGACCACTCAGATGGGACAACGTCTAACTCCCAGATCTTAGCTAAAATATTAGTCAACCTAATCGCTAAAATTGGACCAACATCTTTAAAGACCTCTGGAGCCAGTCAATCTGGACCAGCTGCCCTTGCTCGTTTCAGATTAACTATAGTCTTTTGAACTTTAGCGAGAGTTGAGGGACCTACTTCAATGTTCCATTCACACTGTCTGGGAATGGAGTTTAGTTGTAGAGTAGCTGAAGGCCAGTTGAACTGTTCTCTAAAATGTTCCGACCATCGTTCTAAACGTCTGGACTGGGAGCAGATGAGAGTATCGTCTTTTCCGAAATAATCTCACTTACACTTGACTTATTAATTCCAGTTTCTTTTATTAGTCTGTAAAGCTGTCTTGTGTTCCCTATAGTCGTCGCCTTTTCCATCTCTTTTGCTTTCGTTACCCACCACTGCTCACGGTCGTTCCTTAGACTTTTTCTTAACCTAGATCTGATTTGTTTTCGCTCTTCATCATGTTCAGAACCTGATGGGACGAGTTTGCGAGAATCCATCAGTGTGATAGACTTTGAAGAAATCCACTGGTTCTTTGTAACTCTGTGGTTTAAGTCACTAATAGATGTCACTGCTGTTTCCACAGCTGCTTGTATGTCTTTCCAAGCAACATCTGGGTCAGCCTCGTCTTCAGAACTACCTAAGTGTGAACTCAGTTGTTCCTGGAACCTATTTTTGGTTTTCTCGTTACTCAACTCAATTCTAATGGGTCTTTTTAATGTGGCTTTTTGCGTCCGGTGAGGCGCGAGCAGATGCGTGCCCGTATTAGGGTGTGGTCGGAGTCCAAGCAGGTACTCCAGAATGAGCGACAATCTTCTATCGACCCTCTCCAACGATGACTGATGGCAATATAGTCTATTTGAGTCCATCGTTGGTTTGGTGTAGGGGGTCGCCATGTTAGACGATGTCTCTCCTTATGCTTAAAATTTGTGTTTGCTAAAAATAAGCGATTGTCTGAGCACAGTTGCAGCAGACGGTCACCATTATCTGTTCGCTGTGCCGGAATGCTAAAATATCCACCTAAATGCCTTTCTGTTTGGTTTAAGCTACCTATCTGAGCATTAAAGTCACCCCCTACGAGTACTATGTCTGAGCGTTTAGCTTTCTGACGAAGTTCAGAAAGCTTTCCACCATCTCAAAATCATATGAGCTTTCTGTAAAATTCATCTTTCACTTCATCTGAGCTGCAGTCAGTGGGAGCGTAGGCAGAAACGACGAAAAGGCAACGACGTGTGTCCCTATCCTTCCGAGTTCTTACGGAGCCGTTTAGCCGAACAGCACATAGACGACTGTTGACGGGGATCCACTCTAGCAGTGCTTGTTCGGGCCTCTTGCTTAGTGCTATGCCTACTCCTGCCAGTCCACGAGAACTGGCCATCGTGTCACCAGATACACGAAGGGTGTATCTCGTTGGCTCTCCGTTTTGCCGAGGTGAGGTCAAGTGAATGACCACACTGGAATCCTGTATGCGTGTTTCAGAGACACAACATACGTCAATGGTAAGAGACTCTAGGGTTTTAGCCAAGGAAGCCTGCTGACCGATTTGACATAGTGTGCGTACGTTGAAAGCTCCAATGTGTAGTTTGGAGCAAGGTTTCAGTAGACCTGGGACAGTGTGTTTCACTTATGGGGTTAAGTGACCATTTACCCTAAACTCTAGTGATAAGTATTTGGACTTATTACTTTTAACCATTTATCTGTCCTTTTTTATATGACTATTTATCGACAACGGTTTATTTCAGGACAAGATTCCAGTCGTCAAGACTCATCTCAACAATCATCCAGAGTTCGTTGCTGGGACTTACTACAACCCGCCCATTTTTATCCGTTTAATATTCCACTTTTGCTCTCTACTCGAGGTGAAAGTATGGACCGCAACCCGATCGGTGAAAATTATACTCGTTCGGAAGAAGCTGTTCCTAATGGTAATCCTCAAACGGCTAACTGTCTGGATTTGAGCGCATCACTTATAACGAATACGTCCAGATACTTTGGCGATTCAGATGAAAGACGTTTAGAGAACTATATTTCCATGGCTAATAACATTTTACCAATTCCATTGCCTTCCGCTTATTTAATTGCTTTACATGAAAGGGCTGGAGCTTATCATAAGTGGCCTCAACATGTTATGGTTAGTTTCATAAAAAACGTTCCTATTAATGCAATTTAGAATTTTTGGTAACAAGTAAACTTCTGTTTTGTGAATTTATTTAGATTTGTTTTTCGACCTACCGCTCTATTTTTATTTTGAAGATTTGTTCGATTCCCGATTTTCCAAAGGACTATTCAAATCTATGGTGATTGTGAATTCCACTATAAGACTGTTTACTCAACAATCCATTACATTATAAGCCGAGATGAATAGTGGGTGACCGTAGGATCAAGGCCGGGCGTTTCGTCCCATTTGAGACTTGTTAGCTTAGTGTATCTGCACCTGAGAGTTGACGGTCAATGCTGGACTCGAACCCAATATCATTCTCTTCAAAGGCCATCGCATTACCCACTCGGCTATTAAGTCCACGTAGCTATTGGCTTGTAAAATGGAGTGAAGCTTAATTTTTTGTATTGGTCGTTTGAATTTTCCCATTAATGTCCAGGACTGCAATTGATCAGAATAAAACGCGCCTCCTGGATTCTACTGCTAGCCACCATCTACCCCTGCTGATAATGTTTGTGACTTAATGGGAATATCGAGGCCATCTACAGACGATGCACAGATGACAAAAATGACTGATGAATTACAGTCCTAAACATCAATGGAAAGATTCGAAGAACCAATACAGTTTAATAAATACATCACATTGTTGTTATTGTACGAATGAGTGTGTTCTTAGATCGTTTCAATATTTGTCTACAGGAAAATCATCTCTAAAATTTGGTTCACAACATAACCAAACAAATACAGTGAGTAGACATCTGTGACATAAAGTAATTGTTATAGTGAATGAAAGGGGTTCTTTATTATTATTTTGCCACTGGATAATTTCATTTGGAAGCCTGCTGTATTACGCTTCTTATCTCATGGCTCAATTTATATTATACTGGCATATGAGTTTGTTATCATATCGTGGTTTGTTTCTACTGGATATGTTTCCGGTCTATTAAAGTGCATCATTTCTATTATACTTTGAGTATGGATTATCAGCTGAATCCAGGATATGCTTTACATTATTAACATTTATATTAACAATCCAAACTGAGTACTTTTCACTTCAGAATGCAATATTTTATTCACTAGGTAGCTGAATCGTGTTATCCCAAAACTCGCTCAACTGGTATGATAATTATTGTCATTTGTAATGGTTTGAATTTCCCTGAAATATCAGCAGAGAGAAAACATGAACTTTTAAAAATATTAATAATTCTGTTTTTGTTCTTTGTACTTAATTTGTGTTGTGTATTCGCTTTTACAAATAAAGTGGCGGATAGCTATAAGTCTCGATCTTTTCATTTGCAGAATGCAAGGTTAACCCTTGATCAACGTCATAGTTTTAGCACCGTTGTGGATCAGAGATTTCGACAATGGTTGATAGAATCAGGCAATTTGCGTCAATTACAACTCCTAGAGCTAAGCACAGGTCACGTGAATCCAGTACCATCTTGCAATCCTACTGCTTATTCTGTCGACAAAAGTGTTGCTCCTATGTCTGTGAGTTCTACTTTTCAAAGCCATCCAGATCGATCAGATCATGGGGTTCATAGTTCTTATGCTGATGGTCACATAAGCAATTCTATTCGGAGTGGCTGCCTTCTCACTCGGTCAAATAATGAAAATCAGTTTGCTACCAACGATGATGATGCTGATGGCATATGACAGTAGTTCGTAATTTTTCAAGTATTATACATTCCAGTATTTTTCTCAATCCATAATTGGTTGTTACGTCTTTTGGTTCAACCGGAAAATTAATATAATCTCAGTTTAAGCTATCATCTGTGATCATTTATATTGTTATTGTTTGTTTAAGACATGTACTCATTGTTACCTTAAAAGGGACATTTGAGTTTTTCCGAATGTAATTCTTTGAATTTTTATAGGTCACATTTTCTTGAACCTTTAAATTAGTTTACCAACGTAAAAAATGTTTTATTGCTTGTTATATCATAAAATTATTTTGGATTCCCAATTTTGACGTACGTTTTCCGGATCCTTACTTCTTAATACCTAATTGTACTGATGTACTTTGGTCTCATCAGTTGGCTAATGTTGTATGCTTTAGCTATAAATGTGACTTAATTATTAACTACAGAAACATGTTTACTGTTAAAACGTTCAATATAATCGCTTTATTTAACTGTTCATCTTTGAGTTCTTATGCACAATTGATCTAACATGTAATTTAATGCTTATGTTATCTTTTGTACATGTCAGGTACTATTGTAATAAACGAAAACAGTTGGGATCGACCAAATGTATTTGAACACAAAATTACAGTTATTTGGTAAAATCTGAATACCATATGTTCAATACTTTATTTGCAAAATGTCCATCAATTGTCTCAGAATTGTTGTTCCTTCATTTCCACACCAATCACTCTCTGTTCCCGTTAATTTCTATTCAATCTTCTCATCCTTCTGCTGCCAGGCATTCCACTTGCGATTGGTCTTGTATACTACTTATATTTGTCGACATATGTAGCACACTAACATGGTTACAGAAATGACATATTGATTAGTTATCGGGTTGAAAATAATACTGCTTTTTATAAGAGAGCACTTGATATCTGGAAAAGTAATAGGAATGAAAGTATTACTGGTTCAAAGAATTTTACATGACCTTAAAATGCAAGTTATCATACAGTTTATTAAAAAATGTAGTTAGACATAGAGCAATTATAGTAGGAAAAAGTAGAGACAAACGGAAATTATGATTTCTCAGTGACTTTACGAATTAACACAATGATGAAGTCATTTTTATTTTGAGAGTTTGGAGTATGTAAGATTCCCATACAATGGCGGTTCCGACCCAGATAACATGCATTCCGAAATTGAGTCCGTATTAGAACAGAAAACTATACCAGCGTCCCAGCGACTTTTACCAGTGGTTCTACAGCAAATAAAAATTTGTATGGGTTGCAAATGTACGACTGATCGGATGAAAGAATAAGCAAACTTTCAGGATTACTATCTACCGTTGCTGTTGGAACATGATAAAAAATCTAAGACATGCACTTCTTTCTGTTCGGCCAATGTAGCTGCTTTGGCAGGTGCACGTAAATTTATAAACAAAAGTGGCGGTAGCATGAAAGGAGTGCTTGTTAAACTTTGGTTGAGTTGTTGAACATGTTGACGTGTTGGGAGCTTAAGCGACGATCTGATTGATTAGTTATGGATATAACTAACACTCGATTCAAAAATTTGTTCGAGCAGTTAAGAGATTTGCATGCAATGAATGTGAAGAATCACAGTTGGTTGAGATTACTAACCAATATTTCATTTCATCGACACCAAAGTCGAATATTTTATTTAAAGAACATCTGACTGCCTTCAGAAACAAACAAAATAACGTGGTACCGATCTTAGTATAAACAACCGAAATTTGCACATTGAGTACTAATTCTTAAATATTTGCTTACACTACCCTATTAAAAAGGAGTAGGACTGAAATATTGACTTATTTAATAAAGTGACTATGCAAATACTGATATGTTCTCCATATTATTCCGTCTGTAGCTCTTCTAGAGTTGCTGCATGTCCCAAGACCAGGTGAAGGAGGAGGGTTGGACATGGAGTCGGCAACCTCATCCCGTAGAAAACAACCTTGTTAAAAAGCGCTAACCAGATTAAATAATTTAAACTCTCCCCTCCAGGTTGAATGAAGAATTATGACACCTCATGATGAAAGCTCAGATTCTTCGGAAGTCACGAGGCCGATGACCCTTCTAATATCCAGAGAAACCATTAATATAGGTACATAGAACATCCGAACAATGTGGAAGACCAGTCAAATAGTTACGAAAATGAGGAGATACAACTTAGCAGTACTCGGAATCAGCAAAACCCATTGGACTGATTCAGGAGAGCTGCTACTGTAATCTGGTCACGAGGAAGGAAATACTGCACACACTCAGGGAGTTGCTCTAATGTCCAAAGAAGCAAGAAATGGGCTCATAGAATGGGAATCTCATGGATTCAGGATCATCAAAGCATTCTTTAAAACAAAGAAGAAGATAATCACAATGAATGTTATCCAAAGTTATGCACCCACCAATTATGGAAATGACAACGATAAAGATCGGTTTTACGAGAGGCTGCAATCAATCAGAGCGAAGTGCCCAGGAAAGGACCTGACAATGCTAATGGGAGATCTAAACGCCAAAGTTGGAACGGAAAACTACGGTTATGAAGATATCATGAGACGACATGAACTGGGAGAAAAAACGAAAGCGATGGAAGATTAGCAAATCTATGTGCATTCAACAAAATGATTATAGGCGGCACAACATTCCCACACAAACGCATGCATAAAGCTGCATGTCTTTCACTGGATTACACAACGGAGGACCATGTCGATCATATTTGTATCACTAAATGTTATGGATGCGGTCACCCGTCACAAAAATTGGCGACGGGGTAGAGAAAATTTTGAACCCTGTAATTGGACGAGATTCAACCTAATTATTTTGGCCAATCAGCATTCAGATTGATCGTCGGTGTTCTTGGAAGTCATTGGTTGTTGATTGATCACAGTATTTCTCATTACCCTGCTGATTCAGAAAATGTCTATCCTTCCCGATCAATTGCAGCTACTACTTGATCGTCAACAGCAGCGTTTCAGAGAGAGCCAGTTGACTGTTTTGAACAATTTACGCACGCGACTGCTAAATCTCCCATGTTCCGGAGATGTGAAAGAAACTGATGAATTAATTTCTCACTTGCATACTGAACTCGAAAATGACTGCAGGACGTATGAAGATGAAAACAAAAGCCTCTATGAATCCCTGATGATCAGTAATGCAAACGAGGCAGTCGCTCATGATCCGTCCAGCGATCCAGAAATGTCCAATTCAGAAATATGCCCTGTCGCGGGTTCAAATCCCACTGTGCCCGAAACATGTACAGACAGTGAGGCATCCAGCTCACAGGGAGAACCCCTCGTGCCAGAAAATGCGTCCCATGCATCAAACAATGGTCAGAAATCTAATACAAATTTCAAAGATGCTGTTTATTTTAGTGATCTATTATCCACTAATGGAATTTTGAAGAGGTCTGATGAACATGTTTCACAAGAATCAAACCCTAATGACCTCATATCTAGTGTCGCTGATCCTCATCATCCAGTCAGTTCTAGTGGACGCTCTACCCAATGCGGGAAATCTGCTTTAAACAGAATCAGACTAACTGTTACTTGGGTATATGAGGACCCAACATTATTTCGCGGGGGAGGACGGACGCAGAAAATTTTAGAAATCCGGATATCAACTCCGGATCTTCAAAAAAAGGGAGGTGTTATGGATGCAGAACAATATACCAATCATTATCATGTTAAGTCTACTGATGTCCTTGGACCTTAAATGGACATTCCTTATTGGCCATTATTTATTTCATTCGTTAAATATTGTACAAATGTTGTTTTCTATTTTTATGGTACGATGTGGTCTGTTTGGTTAGTATATAAATAGAGTATGTCTGAAATACAATGATTCATAACTCAGAGGCTGTGACTTGCGTTCTAGATTCGACCGGCTGGGCTAGATAGGGGAGAGGGACCAATCGGGACTCTAGGTCGTCCTTACGTGTTTTACGTGTCACTGAATCGATCAATAAAACGCTACGCATCTAACCGTGCAATCCACCCGTTACAATACTAAAAATTTTTAAAGGTCAATGGAAGACGTGAGAAACAAGGGCGGAGATGACATAGCTTCAGATCACCACGTAGATGTGGCCAAAATGAAACTGAAGCCGAAGAAGTACTAGACAACTGGAGAAACAGAAGTACAAAGGCCTTCCTTCGAGATACTGACAAGCTTAACGAATTCATGATAACTCCTAATAACAGGTTCCGAACCTTACGGGATTTACTGAAGGAAGAAGAAACTATTATGGAGAACAACTGGGAAGGTATCAAATAAGCACTAGCTTCAATGTGTTAGGAGGCTCTTCCCCCCAAGTAGCATCCTTATATTGAATGGATCTTTATCGAAACCCTGAACATGATTCAAGATAGGAAGAACAAGAAGACAGCAATAAACAACAGACGAACACGAGAAGAGAAAGTCAAGGCACAGATTGAATACACTGAAGCAAACAAGCTAATGGAGGGGAGCATTAAAACTGGCAAGTGGAAATACGTGGAAGGCCTAGTGACGACAGCGGAAAAAGGTGCAAAAGAATGAAATATGGAAGAGCTATATAACACAACGAAGAAACTAGCAGAGAAATATAGTAAACCAGGGCGACCAGTCAAGGACAAAAAAGGCAAGACAATCACTGAGATTCAAGAACAGAGGAACAGATGGGTAGAACACTTTGAGAAACTCTGGAATTGGCCAGCTCCATTGAATCCATACATTCCCATAGTTGTCACTCCATCAACGATCGAATAAATCAGGATGACCGGTCATCAGACAAATCAAGAGTGGAAAAGCAGCAGGACCTGAAAATATACCAGCTGAAGGACTGAAATCAGGTATTGGGGCAACTGCATGTATACTTCACGTTTCATCCAGGAAAATTTGAGAGGAACAACAAGTGCCGACAGGCTGGAAAGAAGGATACTTCTTCATGATACCGAAGAAAGGAGATCTGAGCAAGTGTGAGAACTACCGAGGGAACACTACTATCAGTATCGGGAAAAGTTCTCAACAGAGTGTT